GCTGTCTGTCTCACATGTCACACATGAGGAAAAGGCCCTGACTTTCAAGATACATCCTGGACCTCCTGTGGCCTCCTGCCAAGGGCTTGTGCTCTCCTGAGCCAGCTCCTAGAGTTTGACAGGTGCTATGTCCTGGTTTTTCTGTGTGTCTCTGGGGATGTGCTATTAGGGTCTTGTCCTGCCCCAGGAGCTGAGTGACATGAAAGATGTTTCACATTCCAGCTTTTGTGTGAATTAACCACTTCTGTTGTTGATGTGCCACATGAGGTTGCTGCAAGGCTGCTGAGTTTGCCAGCACTGGTCCACTGGTCCTGGGGGAGCTGGGAGGCTCCTGCCAGGTTCTACCACAGCGACTGTGTCAGCAGTCATCACAGTGGTGTTTTCTGTTTGCTTCCGTCCAATATCACGTTATTTAATATGGGTAGTTAATTTATCAGCATTGTGCTAATGAGTTCACCCATTCTTTAACCTAGACCAGGAGGAGGCTGATTTAATAAATTAATTTTCTGCACAAGGCACATGGTAGCCTTCCTTCTTGCACTTCTAAGCAGCATATCAGCACAAGTGGACCCATCACCAGGGGACCCCTTGCACACTGTCAGTGGGAGTGTGAATTAGTACATCCATGAGGATAATGCTTCAGAAATATAAATAAGGGGCTGGAGAGATGGCTCACTGGTTAAGAACACTGGCTGCTCTTGCACAGGACCCGAGTTCAGTTCCCAGATCCCATATAGCAACTAACAACCATCACTAACTATAGTTCCAGGGGATCCAACACCCTCTTCTGATCTCTGCAGGCATTGTACAGCATGGGTGCACTTACACATGAAGGCAAAACACTCATACACATAAAATAAAAATAAATACATATAATACATATGTGCATCAAAACATAGTAGTCGCACTACTGGTTCTATATCCAAGGGAATGAGGTCAGCGTATGAAAAAGATGCCTGACTCCCATGTTCATCATTTCACTACTATCACAGTACGCCATCAACCTAAGGGTCCATCAGTGGACTGGATAAAGAAGATGTGGCATACGCATGCAACATAAAAATAAATACATATAATACATATGTGCATCAAAACATAGTAGTCGCACTACTGGTTCTATATCCAAGGGAATGAGGTCAGCGTATGAAAAAGATGCCTGACTCCCATGTTCATCATTTCACTACTATCACAGTATGCCATCAACCTAAGGGTCCATCAGTGGACTGGATAAAGAAGATGTGGTATACGTATGCAACGGAATAGTATTTAGTCTTCACAATGGATGAAATCCATAAGACATTATGTTATGCTATGGGGGCGGGGGGAGGCACAGAAAAACAATTATCATGTGATCTGTCCAGTTCTTAAAAAGGGGTTTTACATGGACGTTGTCCTGGTTAGTTTTTATTGTCAACCTGACAGAACCTTGAGTCACTTGGGAAGAGGGAACGTCATCTGAAGAATTACCTCAGAGTCTGGAAACCTGGGTCAGCAATTAAGAGCACTTCCTGTTCTTCCAGAGGACCTGAGTTTTGTTCCCAGCACACACATCAAGTGGCTCACAATCACCTGCAACTCCAGGTCCGCATCCATGTTTGCTGCTGCAGAATTGCCTCTAGCTAAGAGATGGAAGCAACCTAAGTGTCCCTCTACTGATTAGTGGTTAACAAAAATGTGGTATATTTACAGTGGTATGTTTACACAGTAGAGTTCTATTCAGCAGTAAAGAATGATAAAATAATGAAATTTTCAGGTAAATGGATGGATCTATAAACTGTTATACTAAGTGAAGTAACACAGACTTAGAAAAACAAACGACATATGTTCTCCCTCATATGTGGCTCCTAGCACCAAATCTTTTTAAATTGCAGGTCCTTTTAATATGATGATGCTGTACAGCTGCCCCTTCTGCATGAAATAACTACCATCATCATGACTTTGGCTGAGCCTGATCGCTAAACATAGTCATAATTGGGCTTGTTGACAGTTGTGCTCATTCACTAAAGGAAGGCCAAGCAGGGTCACTGAACCCGCACCTGAATATCCAGCCACTCTTCCCAGCAAACTAATCCAGCCTTGGAAGACAAAAGAAAAATGAGGAAGAACCCAATAGAGGGATGCTTTTGGAAGCCCTTGTCAAGAAACTCCAAAGGACTTTCATATGAACATTTGAAAATTGCCCTGTTCTGACTTTTTTCTAGTTCACTGTCTAGAACTTGTAATGCTAATTACTCTTGCCTTTACTTCTCCTTCACATCTCCTATTCACCAGTGAAGGACTTCTTTTCTCCCTACAGATAAGAGTTATGCAATTTGGGAGTCTTTTAGATAGACTTTTCAGCATGGAAAAAGTCAGCCTG